GTTCGACCCCCAGGGGCCTTGCATTGGCTTCTGGGTCCCGGGCTTCCTCTTCAGGTTTTTTGGGGTTCAGTGCCTTGGCGCCTACCCGAGCCCATGCTTGATGTGTTCACGGACACTTCGTCTTTCGGCTGGGACTTTGTGACCAGTGCTCACCAGGCCAGCCAGGGGCGGTGTGGGCCGTCCTTCCTTTCGAGCCCACAGCACGATGTGGGAGTTCGCGGCGGTGTGGTTTGCACTTCGGAGGGTTCGGGTCGCCTGCGGATCGACGATCCGGCTCCATTCGGACTGCTTCCCGGTGGTTCATTGCCTGAACCAAGGGGGGGTTCGATGCGGTCCTTGGCTCTTTGACGCCGGTCGCTTCGAACTCAGCAGAACTCGTCTGCTGCATTATTTGGGTTTGGCTCTCCTGGCTGTTCATGTGCGGGGAGTGTCCAATGTTTTGGCCAACGGCCTGTCGCGTTTCGTTCCCCCTATCCACGGAATGGACAGTCAATGCCGACTCCTTCCGTTGGCTCTGCCAGACGTTCGGGCGCCTCGAGGTGGACCTCTTCGCATTGGCGTGGTCGCGACACTTCCCCCAGTATATTGTGCCTTTCCCTGATTGCAAGGTCGTCGGGGTCGTTGCCTTTCGGCAGGACTGGTCGAGGTGGGGGTTCCTGTTCCTCTTTCCCCCCGGTTCAGCTGTTGCTTCAGGTCCTGAATCACTTGGAGATCTACCAGGAGAGAGTAGTCCTCTTGGCCCCATGGTGGCCTGCCGGCCCAGCTGAGGTTTCAGGCACTGCTTGCCCGGTGTCCGAACCCGGAGGTTTTCCCGCGGCTCCGCCTCTTCCAACAGATCGGCCCAGTGCGTCACATGGCTGGTTCGATCTTCTCCTCAAGTCTTCGCGTATGGTCTTTTTGACATGGGTTTATCATCATCTCTATGGTGATCAGGTAGGTTCTTTGTTGGTGTCCCGCCTGAGGGCTTCGTCTCGGCAGCAATATGAGGTCTCCTGGTGGTTCTTCCGGTTCTTTTTACGTCTTTGTCGTTGTGCTTCGCTTTCTGTTCGGGTGTTGTTTTCCTTTCTCTCTTGGTTGTTCCAGGACCGTCACCTTATGACTAACACTGTTGCCTCGTATCGTGCGGCGCTGGCGGAGGCGTTTCAGCTTGCTTTCGGTATTGATGTTACTTCTGCACAGTTTCGCAAGCTGTCTCGTATGTTGTTTCACCTCCGGCCTGCTCATGCGCCACCTGAGCCGTCCTGGTCTTTGGACAGAGTGCTCTCTTTTCTTTCTTCTCCTCGGTTTGTTGTGGTCCCTTCCATTCAGGATAGTTTCTCCAAGGCTCTTTTTCTATTGGCATTGGCCTATGGGGATTGGATTGGGGAGCTTCATGCTCTTCTCCGGCACGAGGGTTTCTGCTCCTTTGGTCTTCGTGATGATTTTGTTCGTTTGCAGCCGTCTCCTTCTTTCCTGGAAAAGAATAAGACTGCTGCTTTCCAGAGGGGTCCCTGGGTTGTTGATGCTTGGTTGGTCAGGCCGGGGGTGCATCGTCTTTTGTGTCCAGTTGCGGTTCTTCGCCGTTATTTGCGCGCCACGGCTTCTGTGTTTTCGGATGCGTTTTGGGTTGATCCGGTTTCCCTTCTTCCCTGTTCACGGGTGTGGGTCTCCCAGGTCGTCTGCAGAGTAGTTAAGGCTAGCCAGCCTGCAGTCTATCCCCGTGCCCATGACGTTCGTAAGTTCGCTGCTTTTGCTGCCGTCTTTGGCAACATGTCCTGGGCTGACATTCCGGCATGGGGATTTTGGCAGTCAAACAGAGTCCTGTTTGACCCAGGCTTTTGGGAGCAATTTTTACCAGAATAGGGGTTTGTTTTGGGATACCTTTCTGGGTGCCTGACCCGGTCGACGGCAGACATAGAATGCTTCCAACCACACGGGGGTTTCTATAGGCCATTACTCCCCATGCCTCTCTGAGGGGGCCAGGTTCTGGCTCATGGTCCCCAGTAGGCCCACAGAACTCTATACACATGACTGATGCCAAAGTCTGACATTAGCATATCAGCCTGGATAAGCTCCGGGGAGCCTCCGGGTCTCACCTAGAATATGGTGTTTCATTACAGTCAATGCTGGTTTTATTTTTCACGTTCCATTCAAAACTGGTGTGTGGGGATGCGGTTACGAAATGGATGCCGTGGGGCCCCCAGTGATCATCCGCCATCTTGAAAAAAATCCCAACATTTCCCGCGGCCGTGGGGAGCCTCTGTTTCAAAGCAGCAACCATGTCTGATGCATCATTTACGAGCTCCCACTCCATGGTCACCTGCGGTCATGGGGAAAATGAATCTCTGAGTAGGAGATACGCGACATTTTGTATGATGACGGTGCTATGGATGATGACTTCGACTATGATCCAGAGAATTACCTTACACAGGACTGATGCGAGTGAGGGAGAGACTGAGGTGGATGATGTCGTTAGCGTGTACGGTACACGGACCTCGCCGTCCTGGGTCAACACCGTTATCAGCACCATGAATATCCCCAGACGCAAGTTTATTTAGTGATAGTATATGCGATGAATCTTTCTCAGGCTTCGGTGACATAGGCTCCGATACAAGTAGTGTGGAGGACCCGAGTACGAGCAGCAAGGGTGTTACCAGGCAGGGTTTTGCTGCCTCAGCAACACGTCGCAGCAGGCGGCAGCGTGTCTTGCAGCAACAGGACAATGACGACAGTGGCCCCTCTACATCAGGTGTTCGTGGTAGGCCTACGATACGTAGATCAGCCTCATCTCCTACTATACCCTCACGCAGCTCCAGCACCAGTTGACGTAGCCGTGTTTTTGGTGCTCGTGGTGGTGTTGGCCGCCAAAACCAAACCCCCGGGTGTACTTGTGTGGGAGGATTATGCCACATTAGTTCCACAAATACCAACGTTTGATGCTACCGATGTTGGTGTTACACCATTATCGTATACAGGTGGTGATATGGCAGAAATAGACTATTTCCTCGCGTATTTCGACAACGAAATCATGACCCATCTTGTGACTGAGACAAACCGATACGCTCACAGCCTCATAGACGCCAGCATTTTACCTGCCTCATGCGATGAAAGGACACCACAATTGACGAAATGTACGTGTTTCTCGCACTCAGCATGATGATGAAGCACTCTGAGAAAGCCGTCGTCCAGGATTATTGGAGCAAAGACAGCCTTGTTCAATCGCCCGTGTTCAACCGATACATGTCGTGTGATAGGTTACTGTTGATTCTCAGGTGCCTGCATTTTGAGAATAATGCAAATGAGGACAGACACGACAGACTGTGGAAGGTATGGAAGGTGTTCAGTGACATGAGAGGCAAGTTCTGAGATTATTTTGTACCTGCACAGAATGTGGTAATCGATGAATCGCTTGTACTGTTCAAGGGACGACTGGCATTCAAGCAGTACATCCCATCAAAGTGCCACTGTTTTGGACTAAAGTTTTTCGTGCTGTGCAACTGTGAGACTGGTCTCGTCATGGACATGATTCTGTATTGTGGTACAGACATCGACATACCAGCTCAAGATCCACACGGGTTCTCCGGCAGTGTCGTAAAAATCCTGATGGAACCGTTGCTGAACGAGGGGCATATACTGTTCACCAACAACTATTACACCAGCCCCTTTTTGACCAGATACCTCCTTGCCCACAACACTGGCGTATGTGGCACTGTGAATGCCCACAGGAAGGAAATGTCAGTGTTTGGCATTGGTATAGCAATGGATGACTGCCAGCTGTGCAGGTGTGACAATATGCTCTCAGTGCGGTGGAGGGACAGATGCGAGGTGAATATGCTGACTACGATTCACACCGGTGCCATGTTGGACAGTGGCAAAGTCCACTTTCAAATGCGCTTCCCCATTTATAAACCAGACTGCATCATAGACTACAACGTGAACATGCGTCTCGTCGATAAGTATGACATGATGCTCGGTGCAGTGGAGTGCGTTTGAAAGTCTGTGAAGTGGACGAAAAAGTTCTTTTTCCACCTAATACATGTTGCAGTGCTCAACTGCTTCAATATGTACCTGGCAAAATCAAGCAGGAGACCGCCAATACGGACATTCAGTGTTGGTGTTGTGTCACAAATGCTAGTAAAGTATGGCAAGAGGGCTCTGTTGCACCGTGCGGGTTACCTTACCTTGAGGTGCTTCCGGGGCTTAGCGTCCACGCGGCCCGGTCGTCGACCAGGCCTCCTGATGGGTGGTGCAAGTAACATTGCCACACACAGCTCCAGACAGACTGAGGGGTAACGAGATCTTCAGTGTCCACATGCTCGAGTATATGCCAGGCACAGCATCACAGGAGAAGGGTAAACGTGTCTGTATAGTATGTAGGAACACTACCCGAAGAGAACAAAAGCGAAGATGCATCAGCACCAGGTGCGTGGAGTGCAAGGTTCCACCATGCCCCGATGGCTGTTTTGCACCATATCACACACTCACGGAGTTCTGAGTGTGTTTATGGTGTGTGTATATATAGTGTGTGATACTGTATAGTGTGTAAATATATTGTAAATATAAATAAAATCAGCATGATACATGGGAAATATGTGCAGGATATGTGTACACATGTGTCATGCACGTAACACAGTGTCTTCGGACAGTACAGATGTTCTACTGCCATAATATAGTGTACGTGTTCATTATACATAGGATTCGCACAAAAAAACAAATAAATTGTACTTGGAACTGTGCACAAAAAATGAACAAAAATATATTCGTGGCAACTCGCGCATCTTTAGCCGAGCGCCCTACTGGCCCCGGGAGCGTGCACCACGGGCGATCGGGGATTGATGACGTCACATGCGAACTTACGGACCCCTTAGCAGCCAAAATAAGTACAACATCGACTTTTTGTTAGCATATCCATACTCAGGGAAGGGTTTTTGACACTTTAAAAAACAAAAAAAAAATCCAGAGTTTATTTCATGGGCACATGGGGGTGCTGCATTTGGAAGCCGAGCAGCCCAGTGGTTAAAGCAGTGTCTGGATGTAGCGAAGCTGTGAAACATGATGGTCCAATCTCCAGTGACAAATCTGGCAATGTGGTTATTAAGATCTTAGCTAAACCAGGAGCGAAGGAAAATGGATTTACTGGTAAGAAAATAGTAATCTCAAGGATTATAAGAAGCTGTTTTCCTTTTATTCTCTCTCAGTACAGATAAATGGTAATGAAATTTAAATACACACAGGATTACTGAGAATGAAAAAGAAATGTGTGCAAATGCTAAATGAACAGTTCCAAAGTGTGTTTGTAAAAAACCAGCGTTGAATGTAATGAAACGCCATTTTCTGGGTGAGCCCCGGAGGCTCCCTGGAGCTTATCAGGCTAATTTATATTATATTAGACCGGGACATTAGCTAAGGAGTTCAGACCTACCAGAGACCTGTGCCAGAACCCGGTCCCTTCAGAGAGGTTTCACGGAGCAATGGCCCTGGAAAACCCCCTTGTGGCTGGGGTTTTCCTTATCTGCCATCGACCAGGGTTAGGCACCCAGAAAGGTAGGCATAACAAAACAAACCCCACATGGTAAGAAACTAAAACAAAAAACCGAACAGAGAGGTAGAAACTCCCTACAATCCCAAGGAATCAAGCAAACAAGCAAACATCACACTTTACTGCCGCGCCGATCGTCTGCGCAGCCCTTCCCGCCCCGAGAGGGGGAAGGGGGGAGCCCCAGACCTACCGTGCCGGCTGCCTAGCTTCAGTTCGTAAGCTAATGTCAACCGGGATAGACGCTTCTCTGGCCTCAGTTTCCTAGGCGGTGTTGGCCTTGTGTGGCGTTCGTTGCTGTGTGTTGTGTTGTGCAGTGGCCAAGAGTACCTCATCAGTGCCGGGGCTGCATGCGCTTAGTGGCTTATTTCCCTAAGCGCCCTGTGAGTACTGCCCCTGCGTAACAGGGTTATCTTCCCTGGGGCATTCGGGAACCATTCCCGTAGAGGTTCTTGCTGCTCGGCATTTGCCTCGCCCTTGGGGCCAGCTGGGGCTTTGGGGCCTTGTTTAGCCCAGGGTAGGGACTGGTAATGTGCGGGTTAGGGCGTCAAGGTGTTGCGCAACCTGCCACCTAAGCAGCGACCAGTTCCTGTTGCCTCTGGAGACGGTGTACTTTTGCAGGGTTTTTCTTTTGTTTTTATTTTCATGCCTGGTGTGGCCATAGTTCCACTGGTAGTGTTTGGTGGCCCTCTGCTAGACCCCCGTGATTGTACACGTCGCAGGAGTTTTCAATGCTATCCTCTACCCTCTTGTTATTTTTGGGTTTCTTAACCGGTTAGCAACACCTTGCCCGGGCTTCCCGTAGCAGTCAGCCTACGGACCCTAGAAACCCCTGTCTGGGCTCCGTGGACCATTGAATGTGTCTTTCGGGTTCCAACCCGTCTTGTACGAGATTGTTGGTTGCTGTGCCCTTGTCTCCGGGTGACAGTTGCCACTTTTATCTCCGTCATGTTGCCTGTTGGGTCACTGACACCTTGACCCGGAGTCTTGCAAGAGAGATTCTCTGCTTGTTCTCTATTACTCTCCTGATGTTATTACTGTTCAGAGTACAGGCGGCGTCCGTGTTGCAAGCTAGGTTAGGTTGCTGCAGCACGCTAGGTTGGTTTCTCACTCGGATGCCCCGAGGCCACCCCGTTTTGGTTAGGTGCTGTTCGCCCCTTTCCCTCCCTGTTCCCAGCTCCGAACTGTCTGCGGGTTTCGGGGTCGGGGCGGTGTTTAGTTGGGGCTTAGACTCGGGCGGTTTTCGGGGGCTGCCCTGTTCAGGTTGGGGACAGAGGTTTTCGAGCCTGTTCCTCCTTCCAAGGCCTCTGGGTCTTACCAGCGACCCTTTCTTGCTGCCTTTCCCATGGACTCTTCCTTTCCTTTAAGGGCGGAGGGCTTGGAGGACGGCTCTGCCCCGGGGCTAATGTTGCTGGTTCCCGGGGCTGTGGGGGATGCCTGCTAGCAGTTCAGGGGCGGTTAGCCCCTGCCTGGGTTTTCTGCTTTTCGGCGGAGTTTTTCCCCATTCCAGTCTGCTTGCTTCCCACTTTTGTTGGCATGTTTTCGTATCTTTTGCGTCAGTCACAGCCCTCTGTTCTGGTGGCCATTTTCTTCTGACGGTTTCCCGGTGTGGCCACCAGGGCGGCGTTGCGTTTTGTTTACATGGGCCTGGGTGTGCGAGCGAGCATCTGGGGTGAGTTTTCACCCTTTTTCAGGGATTTTATTCTCTTGTTGTCGTCTCTTTGCTTTTCTGGGGTTTTCTGCCCGTTTCCTGTTCCTCTGGAGCGTTTGAGTGTTGATTTTACACTGGGTTTTCCATTTTGTCTGTTTTGGATCTGGGCCCTTGGGTTTGGGCTGTGTCCCTGACTGTTATGCTCGCTCCCACACCTTGTCCCTCGGTTTTCGGTCTGTTTTAACCATTTCCCTGAGGGTTTCTGTCTGGGGGCTGTGCCCTGCCTTCTGTGGTGCATCTCCGCCAGCAAATGTAGTGGTTTGGGCTTCCCCTGGTTCGATTCCAGGTTCCTTTGGGTTCTTTGGTTTCATTCCGGAGGTTTCTTCCTCTTGGGCCCCCCTTTGTGGGTTCAGGGGGCTTTGTTTCCTCGTGTGTGACCCGGTTCTGCCTTCTGGAGTTCTGGGGTCTTCCTGGCTTGCAGACTGATCTTTTTGGGTCTTGGCACGTGTTGTGGTCGTGCTGGGACTTTGAGGTTTTGTTGTCGAGGTGGGCCTTTTGATGCAGTTTTGTGCCTTCTTCGCCTGGCCGGCATGGTGCTCTCTGCCCACTGGTCGGCGGCTTGTAATTTTCTCTTCACGTGTATGTGTGTGTGTACATGTGTATGTGCATACGCACGTGTGTATAACATGTGTGTATGTGTAATAACAACTTTTCCACTTCTTCAAGTATTTGTGGTCTTTGTGTCGTTAATGTATATATATGTGTATGTGCATGATGTGTATATATGTGTATGTATAGTCTCCGTGGACTATAGTCTCGATGTGAGACTATATAATGATGTGTATAGTCTCCGTGGTGTAGTGGAAAGACACTCTCCTGGCGTTCCGCGAGCGCTATGTCATGGGTTCGTATCCTGGCCGGGGAGGATTTACTGGGCCTCTGTAGCCTCTGTTTAACGCAACAGTAAAGTGTGTACTTGGATGAAAAAACGATTCTTCGCGGCAGGGGATCGTATTCCAGGGACCTGCCCGAAACGCTACGCGTACTAGTGGCTGTACAAGAATGTAACAACTCTTGTATATATACTTTTTCTTTCAGAAGGGGCTCTGTTCCCTTCTCTGTTGATGGGACGCATGGTCCCGCAGTTAGTGGGCGCTTTTGGTTGTCTTCCGGCCTATGGTGGCGTGGGTGGATGACTTCTTCCATTTTGGGGGGTTTGGGGCTAGCGGGGTGGGCTTCTTCCCCTGCGCTTCGTCATGTCATCTTAGTGGGTGCATTGGACGTAGTCGTTCCGCCCCATTCTTCTGGGGTTCCCGTCTGCTCTTTGCAGACATGGGCCTGTCGAATCTGTGGTTCTTCTGGACTTCTTCAGTCTGCGCCCTGGATTCTATGCCCTCATCGGAGGACTGTTGTCTCCTGTCCGGCTTCTGTTGGGGCCGGGTGCCTGGATGGTGGCCCTGGACCTCCAGGTTAATTCTTGGCACGTTCCTCTCCAGTTTTCCGGGACTAGCACAGTTGGTGGTGGGACTTCAGGCTTGCCGCTTTTGTTGCCTTGCCTATTTTGTAATTGGCACTTAGTGTATTTTTGCGTCTTTACCAGATCTTGATGCCCTGTCTGAGTCTGCTTGGGATTCGGTGTCCAACCTATCTCGAAGACTGGCTGGTGTGGGCTCCCAGACGGTCCACTTGTCTGCTCGCCAGGGGTGTGGTTCTTTCCAGATCGCCGGGTTTGGTTTCCTGGTGATCTGGAGGCCATTCCATCTGTTACCGTCCCGGGTTCGGACCTGGCTGGGCCTTGTTTAGGACTCTTGGGCCGCTCCTTGTCTTTCCTTCCAGAAGTGTTGCTGCGGCTGTGGTCCCGCCTTCAGCTGTTCATGAGGTGGTCCCGGGTTGCTCAGCAGTTGCTTGAGCAGTTGTGCGGGAGTCTGAACTTCGACGTGCTGGTCTGCCCGCGGGGTCTGGTTTGGCTTCGGCATCTGTTTGGTTCCTTCGGAGACTCCCCTTCCGCCTCTCTTGCAATCGTTGGGTTCGTTACTCCGGGGATCTTGTGTTGGTGCTGTGTCACCAGCTTCCTCTTTGGGGTTTTTGGGGTTCCGTGCCTTGGCACCTCCCCGAGCTTTCACTCGATGTGTTCACGGACGGGTCATCTCTCGGCTGGGGCTTTGTGACCAGTGCTCACTAGGTCGGCCGGGGATGGTGGGGGTCTGTCCGTCCGTCAGGTTCACAGCACGGTTCGGGAGTTCGTGGCTGTCTGGTTTGTGCTTCGGAGGGTTTGGGTCACTTGGTGCTCTACCATTCAGCTCCGTTTGGACTGTTCTCTGGCGGTTCTTGCCGGAACCACAGGGTTTCTCTTAGGTGTTGACCTTTTGGATTGGTTCCTTAGAGTGGCTCGTTTGTTGGATTCTCGGGATTTGGCTAACCGTGAGGTTCATGTCCGGGGTGTGTCCTGCGTCCTGGCGGACAGCTGTCTCGGTTCATTCCTCTGTTCGCGGATTGTCCAGTCGTCGCCGACTCGTTTTGTTGGCTCTGCCGGACATATGGACTCCTGGCCATGGAAGTCTTCGAGTCGGCGTGGTCTAGGCGTCGCCCATTTTATGTGGCGCCCTTACCCACCTGCGAGGCGTTCGAGGCGTTCACGGTGGATGCTTTTCGGCAGGACTGGTCGAGGTGGGGGTACCTGTTCCTCTTCTCTGGGTCCAGCTATTGCTTCGGGTTCTGGCTCAGTTGGAGCCCATTCCCACGAGAGCAGTCCTTATGGTTCCTTGGTGGCCGGCCCAGCTTTATTTTCAGACGCTGCTTGATAGGTGTCCGAACCTGGGGTGTTTTCCCGCGGCTCCGCCTCTTTCGGCAGGTCGGATCGGTCCTGTACGTGACTGGTTCGGTCTTCTCCTTGGCTCTTCGCATCTGGTATTTTGACGCGGGTATCACCAATTCTGTGGTGTTCAGGTGGCTTTGTTGAAGGTGTCCCACCTGCGAGCTTCATCTTGGGACAGTATGACGTTCCTGGTGTTTTTATGCACTTTTTCTAGCTCTTTGTAGGTTGTTGTCTCTTTTGCATTGGGTTGTCTTGTCCTTTCTTGGGTTTTCAGGACTACAGTTATTTGATGTTTTTTACTGTCGCCTTGTTTTGTGCGGCGCTGGCGGAGCCGCTCTGGCTTGCATTCCGGGTGGGCGTTACATCTGCCCCGTTTCGTACGCTTTCTCATGTTTTGTTTCACCTCCGGCCTGCTCATGCGTCGCCTGAGCCGTCCTGGTCCTTGATCAGGGTGCCTTCTTATCTTCTCCTCAGTTTGTGGTAGCCCCTTCAGTTCAGGTTTCTGCTCTTTGGTACTGGTGGTAGGTTTGTACATGTGCAGCCTGAGCCGTCCTGGCGACGGTCGAGACGGCTGCTTTCCGGAGGGGTTCTTGGGTTATTGATGCTTGATTGGTTTGGCCGGGGGTGCGTCCTGTGTTGTCCGGTTGCTCTTTTTGCCGTTACCTGCGTACTGTGTCTGGGGATGCACTTTGGTTTAATCCGGTTCCCCTCGTTCCCTGTTTTCAGGACTCGAGTCTCTCAGGTCGTCCGCAGAGTTTTTCAGTCTTCCAGAATGTAGTCTGTCTTTGTGCCCGTGCTGTTCAGACATTTGCAGCTTTTGCTGCTGTATTGATGACGTCTAGGGCTTATTTCGGGCACAGGGATTTGAGGGTCGCATAGGTTCTTGGCCGCCCATCCTTATGTGCATCTGCTCCTGTGCGTTCTTGTTGCCTTGAGTCGCAGGTTGCAACCTGTTGTCTCAGCTTCGCGTTGAAAAGTTTGTGGCAGCTGCCTCCCGGGTTAGCCCTTTCTTTTCCTTCTCTTTGAGTATGAAGCTCCATGGAGCTGTAGGGGCTCCCCACAGAAAACCAGCGTTGAATGTAATGAAGCGCCATTTTCTGGGTGAGCCCCAGAGGCTCCCTGGCAACCCTCCCTCCCACCGGTTGGCGTTTTTTTTGCGTTTGTTGAAGCTTAGCTTCTGAACTGAAGCTTGGCAGCCGGTGCGGTAGGTCCGGGGCTCCCCCCTCCCCCTCTTGGGGCGGGGAGGGCTGCGCGGACGATCGGGGCAGCAGTAAAGTGTGATGTTTGCTTGTTTGCTTGTTTCCATGGGATTGTAGGGAGTTTCTACCTCTCTGTTCGTTTTTTTTAGTTTTTTACCATGTGGGGTTTGTTTTGTTATGCCTACCTTTCTGGGTGCCTAACCCCGGTCGATGGCAGATAAGGAAAACCCCAACCACAAGGGGGTTTTCCAGGGCCATTGCTCCCTGAAACCTCTCTAAAGGGGCCAAGTTCTGGCGCTGGTCCCTGGTAGATCTGAACTCCTTAGCTAATGTCCCGGTCTAGTATAACATACGTTAGCCTGATAAGCTCCAGGGAGCCTCCGGGGCTCACCCAGAAAATGGCGTTTCATTACATTCAACTAGCAATGAAATGCAATGAAATGCCAGTTTCTGGGTGAACCTCGGAGAATCTCTGACACCCTCCCTCGCCCAGGCCGTTGGCGGATTTTATCATTATTGCACTAGCCTCTGTGTGGCCTAGCTGACTCAAGCCGGCTCCCTCCTTCCCCAGGCAAGGGAGGAGGTGGGAGCAAACTAGCAGGGATCTGGTTTCACAAAATTTTGTTTTCTTCGTGGGGAAGTTCTATTGGTAATTTTGAAGCTGAGGTTTTGTTTTAACCATGCAGTAGTCTGTTTTGATTTGCCTATCTTTCTGGGTGCCTTCCCTTGGTGGCAAAGATGATAAACTTTAAGTATAAAGTGTTCATTGGTCAACGCTCCCTGCGCCTCTCTGTAGGGGCCAGGTTCTGGCTTGTGGTCACCGGTAGGCCAATAGAACTCCGCGACTGGTGACGCCTAGTAATATGGAACTTAATCACTGTGATACCTTCAGGAAGCCTCCGGGCCTCACCCAGAATATGGCATTTCTTTACATTCAATGCTTTTTTTATATAATTTAATAATCTTGATATGTTACTTCAGTCTCATGTTACTGTATGTTATGTTATGAGGCTAACTTGTGTTACTATGTTACTGATATATATTTGTTTGGGGTGGAGTGTATGCAAGTCTGCTGAAAATAAAGGACAAAGTATACGGTAAAGATGTTTCATTATTAATTTATCGTTTTAATAAGAATATTTCCTTTTTAAAGCAGGTTGTTTTCTTGCAGACATTAGCACTGAGGGTGTTGGTGTTCAGATTGCTGCACCACCCACAGAAGGGGAAGCCAATACAGAGCTGGTCAAGTTTCTGGCTTCTGCACTAGGAGTTCGGAAGAGTGATGTAAGCTTAGACAGGGTGAGTTATAAATAAAATAAAATAAAAGATGAAGGAAAAGCATTGTAGAGAGAGGTGAAGGTAGGAGATGGGGAAATTAGAGAGCAAGAGAGAGAGAGAGAGAGAGGGAGACAGAGGGAGAGGGAAGAGAGAAGGGGATGAAGGGAGGAGAAGGAGAAATAAGAGGGAAGTAGTGTGGGAAGAGAAAAAAGAAGACCTATAGGTTTTTTATGTTACAGTATACACACTTTAGCAATTGTACTGTATTTTATATTTATAATATAATTACAGTTTGTATTTTTAAAAGTACTTACAGTGGTACCTCGGAATGCGATTGTCCCTGTATGCGAGGTTTTCGGAAGGCGAGGAGTATTTACTCCAAAAATTTGTCTCAGAAGGCGAGGGTTACTTCGGGACGCGAGTTTGTTGATACGCGTACAGGCCGACCTAGCGCGTGGTGGTTCGGCGATCGTCGCCCCTCCGCCCCTCAGTTTACCATTGTCTCGCGCTCAGTGACTACCCCCACATCAATTCTTCTCGCGGATTTTCAGTGTTTTGTTGGATTTTTGGTGATTTGTCTATACAATTTGTTATTATATATCTCACCATGGGTCCCAAGAAAGCCAGTGGTAAGGATAAAGGCCAGAAAGCTCATGTGAGGATGACAATAGAGGAGAAACAAGAGATCATTCGGAAGCATGAGAACGGTACACGTGTTGTTGAACTTTGTAGGCAGTACAACAAAGCCACATCAACAATATGCACTATACTTAAGAAGAAAAATAAGATTATGGGTGCTAAAGTGGCAAAAGGAGTAAGAACATTAACGGCACAAGACCACAAATACTTGAAGAAGTGGAAAAGTTGTTATTAATTTGGATACACGACAAGGAGTTGAGGGGTGATAGTGTTTCGGAGGCCATTATTTGTGAGAAAGCCAGGGTGTTGCACGAAGACCTTCTAAAGAATACCCCTGCAACGAGTGATGCAGATAAGAAAGAGTTTAAGGCAAGCAGGGGCTGGTTTGAAAAATTTAGAAAGAGAAGTGGTATCCATAGTGTTACAAGGCATGGGGTTATGTGATGTGATTATGGAAGGGGACTCCCCTTCCAAACAGTAACTCCTCTCCTCCTCCCCCCTCCTCACCATCTTCCATACGCCTACAGCACTCGACAGCAAGGTAAGTAATAACTGGAACACAGTTTTGTAGGTTTATTTAGATGAATTAGGTAAATTAGGTATAAAAATTTAGTTTGATGTGGGGTTTTTGGGGTAGTCAGGAACGGATTAATTCATTTCCCTTTATTTCTTATGGGGAAATTAACTTTGGAATGCGAGTTTTCGGAAGGCGAGGCGTCTCCAGGAACGGATTAAACTCTTATTCTGAGGTATGCCTGTATATCATAATAGCAAAGAAATCACACTAACATGATATTTATGAATGAGAAAATAAACTGGAGCTCTGAGGTGACTTGAACCTGCCACCAAGGGACTACCAGCCACTGACATTACCACAGTACCACCATAACTTTGGTCCACACCTCACAAGTCATGATGGTACAGTGGTACTGTAACGCCAGTGGCTGGTAGTCCGTTGGTCGCAGATTCAAACCACCTCAGAGCTCCAGTTGATTTTCTCAATACAGTATATCATAATACTTGTATCAGGAACTATGCTAGTACTGTATAGGAGGCTGGGGATTCTTTTCTCAATTATCCATGTGAGACATATGTGATCTATTGATTTTGCAACAAATGGTTACAGGAATGTTGATAATATTTTGCTAGTTAGTCTATAACAAAACTTCTCTTGTGAAAATAATTTCTTGTAAAATTTCTATTTGATAATTTTCTTTCTTTTACTTCATTTTGTATCTGACAATTCACCATGTTTTATCCCAGGGATCAAGATCACGACAGAAGACAGTGAAAGTGAGTGGGACATCTGTAGCTGATGTGGAGCAAAAGCTGAAAAATTGTTGTAAATAAGTGAACACTTTAGTTTTTTTTATTCCATTATTTATTCTACAAGTTATTTGTGTGAATTTGTGCAATGGCACATTACCAGGATCTGAGAGATAAAGATTAAAGCACCCTGGTGTAAACTTTATACAGAAAATTCTTAAAACATTTTCTGTGTTCCATTCACCTGGGCTGTAGGAGTCTCGAACTGTGGACCCCATGAGTGTGAGGCAGAAGCTCTATTGACTGGGCTATGAGTAATCTTAATAAGGAAAGTTTCCAGAAGCAACGTCCTGCTGCCAAACTGGATTTTTTTACTTTCCCTGACTACTGTACTACTTAGACTCTGAGGAATTAGTGTTTCACACCAACGTCTTATAAATTGTCATCAACACTTCCGTGGAAATAAACATTCCATTCACCTGGGCTGTAGGAATCTCGAACTGTGGACCCCACGCGTGTGAGGCTGAAGCTCTACCGACTGGGCTATGAGTAGTCTTAATAAGGAAAGGTTCCAGAAGTTGCATCCTGCTGCCAAACTGGAATTTTTAACTTTTCCTGACTAAGACCGAGGCTCAGAGGAATTACCTCTGGGGTCCACGATTTAAGATTCCTACAGCCCAGGTGAATGGAATGTTTATTTCCACAGAAGTGTGGATGACATTTTATTTTCTGTGTTATTACCTTTGATGTACTGAAGTTTGGAGGTACATATGTACTTTGAATATTAAAAAGTAGAGTTCTCGGCTTGCCTAACATTGTTACATATTTATAAAATAGAAAAATCTTTGTCATGGCTAGCTTAATGCATTTGATGCCAAAATCGATACTAGAATTCCCATTTTTTTATCAGAATCTCAAGTAGATCCTCCCTTAATTCCCTATTTTTCTTTTACAAATATAGATGGCTTTTACAAAGCCATCTATATTTAGGGGTTATTTAAAATATAACAAGTGTCAAATGGCTAGGATATACATCTTTTCCTCAAGCTGGAGTAGAATAGACATTGACTACAAGCCTGAGTTTATAAGAATTGAAAAATACTGTTGTCAATGATCCATTTATTGCAGTCTTTTATATTGAATGTTACCTTATTTGCTGAGTGAGTATATATTATAATTTGTAATGTCAGTTCAAAGAGCTTAATTTTACCACTCTGAGGCATTTCAGAATTCAAAATGCATAGGATTTCTTGACCCAAAATATTCCCAGATTGCAGTGTAGTGTTAAATTACACTGTACAGTACATTATTGTACTTGGTAATGGTCTTGGACACATATTCTGTTTATAATATTTTAATATTTTTTTCATAATAAAAAAAACACAAATTTATAATTTTTTCTGAAAATACCTAACATGGTAATTATAAAGCTCTATAATAAATCATTCATGGCCTACACTAGAATAAGCTATATGTATAATATAATCCATTAACAAGTTTATAGAATCCAATAACAATCTTGCACAAAATGGACAGCTTTAATAACTGACAAATTTAAGAGAGAGAGAGAGAGAGAGAGCAGAATTGAGACTTACAGATGTCTATGTACTCACCTAGTTGTGCTTGCGAGGGTTGAGCTTTGGCTCTTTGGTCCCGCCTCTCTCAACTGTCAATCTACTGGTGTAAAGATTCCTGAGCTTCTCGAGCTCCATGATATCTACATTTGAAACTGTGTATGAAGTCAGCCTCCATCACCTCACTTCCTAGTGCATTCCATTTATTAACTACTCTGACACTGAAAACGTTCTTTTTAATGTCTCTGTGGCTCATTTGGGTACTCGGCTTCCACCTGTGTTCCCTTGTGCATGTACCACATGTGTTAAATAATCCATCCTTGTCTACCCGGTCAGTTCCCCTGAGAACTTTGTATGTGTTGATCATGTCTCCCAAGCTCTTCTGTCTTCAGTGACGTGAGGTGTAGTTCACTCAGGCTTTTGCTCTTAACTCATGCCTCTTAGTTCTGGGACTAGCCTAGTGGCATACCTATGAACTTCTTCCAGCTTAGTCCTGTGCTTGACAATGTATGGGGCTCTATGCTGGGGCCACATTTCGCACACAGATCAACTGACATTTACTGTCCGATACATTAAAGATTGTGAGCCTGTGGAACGTTTCTTGATGTTCATTCCCATCTTTTCTCCTGAGCAAAGAATTTAACAGAAGATTGTGCGAAAAAAGCTAGTGGAACATATGGAGCGAAAGAACTTTGTAACACAGCATCAACATGGGTTCAGAGATGGCAAGTCCTGCCTCAAAGGATTAATTGAATTCTACGACCAGGCAACAAAAATCAGGCAAGAAAGAGAGGGGTGGGCAGACTGAATATTTTAAGATTGCCAGAAAGCCTTTGACACAGTACTACACAAGAGGCTAGTGAAAAAGCTGGAGATGCAGGCTGGAGTGAAAGGGAAGATACTCCATTAGATAAGGGAGTACCTAAGCAACAGACGACAGAGAGTCACTTTGAGGGGCGAAGTCTCAGACTGGCGAGACGTCACAAGTGGAGTCCCGCACGGTTCAGTCCTTGGACCTATACTGTTTCTTATATATGTAAATGATCTCCCAGAGGGTATAGAATCGTTCCTCTCACTGTTTGCTGATGATGCAAAAATTATGAGGAGGATTAAAACAGAGGATGATATTAGGAGGCTACAAGATGACCTAGACAGACTGTATGACTGGTCCAACAATTGGCTGCTAAAGGTCAACCCGAGAAAATGCAAAGTAATGAAACTAGGCGGTGGAAATAGGAGGCCAGATACAGTATACAGAATAGGTGATGAAGTACTTCATGAAACAGACAGAGAGAAAGATCTAGGAGTTGATATCACACCAAACCTGTCTCCTGAAGCCTACATCAAAAGAATTACATCTGCGGCATATGCGAGGCTGGCTAACATCAGAACAGCGTTCAGGAACCTGTGTAGGGAATCATTCAGAACCTTGTATACCACATATGTAAGACCAATCCTGGAGTATGCGGCCCCAGCATGGAGCCCGTACCTTGTTAAGCACAAACCGAAGCTTGAAAAAGTTCAGAGGTATGCCATTAGGCTAGTCCCAGAACTAAGAGGCATGAGTTACGAGGAAAGGCTGCGGGAAATGCACCTTACGACACTGGAAGACAGAAGAGTAAGGGGAGACATGATGACTACCTACAAAATTCTCAGGGGAATTGACAGGGTAGATAAGGATAAACTGTGTAACACTGGTGGTACGCGAACAAGGGGACACAGGTGGAAACTGAGTACCCAAATGAGTCACAGGGACGTTAGAAAGAACTTTTTCAGTGTCAGAGTAGTTAACAGGTGGAATACATTAGGCAGTGATGTGGTGGAGGCTGACTCCATACACAGTTTCAAATGTAGATATAATGGAGCCCAGTAGGCTCAGGAACCTGTACACCAGTTGATTGACTGTTGAGAGGCGGGACCAAAGAGCCAGAGCTCAACCCCCGCAAGCACAAATAGGTGAGTACACTGTTGTGGATTTTGTTAATGAGAACAAAGTTGCACTATCAAGTTGCCGCGGTCAGTCATACGATAATGCCTCAAATATTGCTGTCTTATATGTGCTGTCAATCTGCTGTATGGTGTCTATTAACCTTGTTTAAATTACTAATCAAGCTGTCAATGTAATCAATCAGAGCTTTAATATAACAATGTGCTTTAATATACCTACTTATCTCTCTCATCTCATTTTTCTCTTGTAATGTATCTTTATCATTTATCAATTCTGATTGAAATTACCTACTTAAAATTATCTGCTAGATTAAGAACCTGCCCGAAACGCTGTGCGTACTAGTGGCTTTACAAGAATGTAAATACTGTACTAACCAATGTATTCTCACAAACCCAATGTACCTTCTTGTATATATATAAATAAATAAATAAATAAATAAATAAAAATATGTCTGGACGATATACTGTACTGGATTGCAAGCACGGATTCATGAACTCAATGAGTTTACCACCTATGTACTCTGCTGGGCGCAGCATGAACTAGGTGGGAGTAAAAGCAGCAGATTGTTATCTAAAGACTATCAAATTCTCTTTGACTTTGTTCAGCATCTGTATTCATTTTTGCTGGTTCTACACATCGCTGGAATGTATTGACATCAACGTTAGGAAAATATTTTGTGGTCAAGCGTGTGTCTGACACGCGATGGTCAGCACATATTGATGCTGTTCATGCTCTTTATATGGGATTCGAGAAAAAAAAAAACAAGCACTGGTTCTCTTATCAGCTGACAATGAACAGCAAATGAATACAAGGTGAGAGGCAGAAGGATTAAGATTTGATTGATTGAGCCAAAAAATGGAAAACCTGGAAACAATCTTTCTCACATTTTTTTATTTATTTATATATATACAAGAAGGTACATTGGGTTTATTAGAGTACATAGCATTGTTGTTTTTACATTCTTGTAAAGCCACTAACACGCATAGCGTTTCGGCCAGCAGGTCCTTAATCTAACAGATAATTTTAAGTAGGTAATTTCTAGCAAAAATTAAGAAATATTAACAGGTGCATTATAAGAAAATTTAACAAAGATTAATAGGTACATTAAAGTAAAATTTGAGGGTTATCAACAGGTACATTGTAGCATAATTTGAGGATTATTTCAAGGTATAATGCAGTAAAATATGCGTTCACTATAGCAACCATGATATAAGATGATAGCAATGATTACAATGGTGAAGTTGTATGGCTTAGGTACATATATTGGGGAATTGGGTAGCACAAAATATAGTGCGAGTATAAAACACTAGGTAGGAAACTATGAAGATGTAATTAGATACTTTTTGGTTTTATTTTTGAATAAGGCAAAAGTTGGACAGCTTTTCAATTTGTTAAGAATTCTTTGGAATGACATACTAGAAAGAATAAACAAAACAAACAAGGGCATGCAATCAAAGGATGTGAACATCACTGTTGCCACGAATCTTCTTGATTCTTTGAAAACCAATCTTCAGGAACTAGAGACAAATCAGTCAGTATGAATTCAAAGCCAGGAGAATGTGCCCAGATACAGATTACAGCCATGAGAGAAAACGGGAGCGAAAACGAAGAAGAGATACTTCTCATTAAAACCGAAAAATTCAAAGTAGAAACTTTCCTCCCTATTCTGGACACTAATATTTGAACTGACAAAACATGCTGAGGCTTATTTTCAGATTGGAAATATTTTCTTTCTTCAGTGAATTTAAAATTATTGCTTCTGATGCACTAAAGAAAAAGTGTGAACATCTGTCTACTGTGTATCACTTAGACCTGAATTATGATGATCTTTCAAATGAATGTGAGCATCTCAAGCACTACATGACTCCTGATGAAATCTTGATACTCCCTGCACTGTACAGAAAAATTTCGGGCAATTTAAAATCTGTATTCCCTTCCCGAATATTGAAATTGCATTCAGTGTTCATGTGCTTGATGGTGACCAACTGTACAGGAGAACGTTCTTTTTTATGACTGAAATTTATATATAAAAAAAAAACTACTTCATAGGACAAGGGGCAGCATCGTTAGAATTGTCTTTCATTTATGTACATGGAAAATGGCATCCTGAAGACCATTGACTTCAAGCCAATAATACAGCAATTTTCTGAAAAGAAATGCCGCAAATGTTTGTTATAATAAGAAGTTCGTAGTAATTTCATACTATGCTATCTAATCTGTGTAGCTTAATGAGTATTATTGTGTATTGATTAAATGTTTATCATGTTGAACACTTTCGCGCCCCGCGGTCGTAAATATAAGACCGGTAAATACCGGTAAATTTGTCCCAAGGTGTAGTAGCGTCGTAAATTTACGCGCGATTAAAAAATATTTGTATAAAATCCAATTCTTATTTTATCGACTTTGAGATAGTATGAAAATGTTTGCCAGAAAAATTCCGTTTTCTCTTCTAGGCACATGGCCGATTTGGGAGAACGGTATTGTATTGTAACTTTGTGGAAAGACTATTGTATTTCTGAGGTTGGAAGAAAACGTGCTCTGATTGGGGACTTGTTTATTTTATAATGGTAAATAATAAATTAATTTATTATATAAATTTATATAATAAATTAATATATAATAAATTAATTTATTATATAAATTAATAAATAATAAATTAATAAATAAAATTATTATTATATAATAAATAATAATAACAAATAGTATAATGATAAGCAATTGTTTTTAATGAATCAAATAGCTAATTAGGATGAATGATAAATAATTATTGACTAGTGCATAACAATAAAGTATTAAGGAATAATTATAATGAATAATCCTTAATGATAAAGTAGAGATCAATTACAATTAATAACTACATCCATAGG